CAGTAAAAATTGTGAAAGAGGAAGAAGAGAGTATGTGTTTTAAGGCAAAAAAGAGTGCATACAGTTCTGTAGTAAGGACACTGGATTCAGGAGGGAGGGGGTATATGAAAGTGCGGGTTGGGAAGGTTATAGCAAAACCAGTACCAGAGGTGGATTTGGAGCCATCAGTGTAAACATAAATACTAGAGGAATGAATGGAGGCATGGTGAAGGAAGTGAGTGAAAAGGACAGCAGGGGGAATATTTGATTTTGGTGGATCAGGGAAAACAGAGGAGTAAATATAGGGGTTAGGTATAAGCCATGGAGGGACAGAATGTACAGAGAACAGGAGTAGGGATCAATGGATAGTTGGTTTAGTGAGGGGAAGTTGGTGGAGTCGAACATATCGGAGAGAGAGAAGGGTATGGCGCTGAGAGATGGTATGCCTGATTCAGTGTACAGGTTCTCAACTGGAGAAGAGTGGATGGCGCCTAGGGCTAAGTGAAGACCACAGTGGTGGATTGTATCAAGATGAGCAAGGAGAGAGGAGGAGTAGATATGGCAGCCATTATCAAGAGCTGAGAGGATCAAGGTAACATGAAGATGAAGGAGAGTTTCACAATCTGAGCCCCAGGATAGAGTTTGTAAGATTCGGAGACGGCGGCGAGTTTTTTTTTTTTAATGTAAAGGATATGATCTCGACAGGATAGTTTGGAGTAAAAAGTAACACCTAGGAATTTGCCAGAAGAACGGTATTGGAGTGGAGTGTCATATAAGAAGAGAGAGAAAAGGATGGAGAAAGATTTGGAGTTAGAAAAGTGGGAGCCCTGGTTAGTGGCCCAGGAAGATACTAAGGATATTAAAGACTGAAGGAATTGGCATGGAGATTTGACATGGATGTGCCAGAGGCGTAAATGGTTAAATCATCAATGCTGAACTGAGCATACTGCCTTGCGGGATGCCTTCAAATTGAGGAAAGAAAAATGATGCAGAAGAGGAAATTTTGACCTGGAAAGTATATTTGGAGAGGAAAGGCTTTTTCAAGGCACCCATATTTCCACATATGCCTAGGGAGGACAATTGATGGAGAATATGGTACTGCTATGTAGTATCATATGCTTTTTCTAGGTCAAAGAATATGGCTAATATGGATTCATGCCACGCAAAAGCAGATGTAATACGTCTCAAAATGAGCAAGGGCGTCAGCTGTGCTTTGGGCAGAGAGTGAAATGAAAGTACACCAGCCAGCTCTATCAAAGCTCCAGCGTTGGGAGTTGGGAACTGGTACATATGAAGTAGGAGAAAGGAGAACTGGAAAGTGGTCACTGTAGGGAAAGGGGTCTAGAACTGACCAATGGGAATTTAAATGAAGAGAAGGGGAGCACAGAGAGAGGTCAAAGCATGAAAAAGATTGCGTGCCTATTTTAAAGTGTGTGGGGCGATCTGAATTAAGAATAATAAGGTCAGTTGTGGAGAGGAAGCATTCTAGGGATCGGCCACAGGAATTGGTGATAGAATCATCCTAAACAGTATGGCGGCAGTTAAAATCACCAACTATGAGGAAAGGGGGTTTTGAGTTGGGAAATTAGATTTTCAAAGGCAACAAAGTCAATGGGGTGGGAAGGGGAGTGTGATCCAGCAGCGAAGAAAGATGCCAGTAACTGTGCAAGGGAAAGTGGTTTGAAAGGGAGATATGACATAAGGCGTTTTCTGGTAGTTAAGTTTAGACGAGACATGAAGGGAGTGTGAGGACGAGACATAATGGTAATTGGTAATTGGTATAGGGGGATGTGTAAGGAAAGTTATTTGAAGGCATATAACGGATGGGTTATAAGAGGAAAGGTTATGATGAACGTCGGATCTATGAGAATCTATGAGTAGGAGGAGGATGGATATCGCCAGTCACTTTGAGTGTGGAGGGAGTGGGAGTTGTGGAATTGAAGATGGATGAGGGGTTTCTTTGTCAACTTGGGACTCGAGTAGATAGTTTTGAATATCTTCCAAGAGTTTCTGTAATGGAGATGGTTGGGGAGTTTTGTGAGACAATGGTTTTCTTATGAGGGGGGAAAGAGGAGGCAGGTAGGTGGATGTGAGTATGTGGTAGGAGATGAAGGGGCGAAACGTACAGTCTGTCTGCTGCGGGTAGTGTGGGGAGGGAGAGGGGAAGGTGTTGAGACTGGAGTGTCTGGATTTAGGGTAGCAAAAGAATTTGACTGAGGAAGGTAGGAGGTAGGAGAGGGGAAGTCAGATGGAAGAGGGTTAGGTTTAGGGGAGGGTTTAGGAACTTGGGAGGTAGAGGGATGGGTAGAGCAAGCAACATTACTGGAGTAGGGAGTAAGAGAAAAATCTCGTCGACGTGCTTCCTGTCTGGCTTCACGCAGAGTGAGTCCAAGTCTGAATCTGAGAGTTGCCACCTTAGACTCAAATTTGTGGGTGAGGCAGCCCCTATAAAATACATTATGGGAGCCGCCACAGTTGGCACGTGTGTGACAGTGCAGAGCAGTTTGATTGAACATGACCA